TCACACGCCTCCTGATTGGCTGACTGAGTGTTACACGCCTCCTGATTGGATGGCTGAGTGTTACACGCCTCCTGATTGGCTGGCTGAGTGTCAAAGTCCTCCTGATTGGCTGGCTGAGTCTCAAAAGCCTCCTGATTGGCTGGCTGAGTGTCAAATGTCTTCCGAGTGGCTGGCTCCTGATTGGATGGCTGAGTGTTAAACGCCTCCTAATTGGCTGGCTGAGTGTCACACGCCTCCTGATTGGCTGGCTCAGAGTAAAACGCCACCTGATTGGCTGGCTGAGTGTCAAATGCCTTCCGAGTGGCTGGCTTAGTTTTAAACGCCTTCTGATTGGCTGGCTGAGTGTTAAACGCCTCCTAATTGGCTGGCTGAGTGTCACACGCCTCCTGATTAGCTGACTGAGTGTTACACGCCTCCTGATTGGCTGGCTGAGTTGACACGACTCCTGATTGGTTTGCTGAGTGTTGCACACCTCCTGATTGGATGGCCGAGTGTCAAAGGCCTCCTGATTGACTGGCTTAGTCTCAAAAGCCTCCTTATTGGCTGCCTGAGTGTTACACGCCTCCTGATTGGTTGGCTGAGTGTTACACGCCTCCTGATTGGCTGGCTGAGTGTGAGACGACTCCTGATTGGTTTGCTGAGTGTTACACACCTCCTGATTCGATGGCTGAGTGTTACACGCCTCCTGATTGGCTGGCTGAGTGTCAAAGGCCTCCTGATTGGCTGGCTGAGTCTCAAAAGCCTCCTGATTGGCTGCCTGAGTGTTACATGCCTCCTGGTTGGCTGGCTGAGTGTCACACGCCTCCTGATTGGTTGACTGAGTGTTACACGCCTCCTTATTGGCTGGCTGAGTGTGAGACGACTCCTGATTGGTTTGCTGAGTGTTACACACCTCCTGAGTGGATGGCTGAGTGTTACACGCCTCCTGATTTGCTGGCTGAGTCTCAAAAGCATCCTGATTGGCTGTCTGAGTGTTACACGCCTCTTTATTGGTTGGCTGAGTGTTACACGGCTCCTGATTGGTATCCTGAGTGTCAAACGCCTCTGGATTGGTTGGCTGAGTGTTACACGGCTCCTGATAGGAAGGCAGAGTGTTACACGCCTCCTGATTGGCTGGCTGAGTGTCAAAGGCCTCCTGATTGGCTGACTGGGTCTCATAGGCCTCCTGATTGGCTGGCTGAGAGTCAAACGCCTCCTGATTGGCTGGCTTAGTGTTAAATGCCTCCTGATTGGCTTGCTGAGTGTTGCACACCTCCTGATTGGATGGCTGAGTAGTACGCGCCTCCTGATTGGCTGGCTGAGTGTCAAAGGCCTCCTGATTGACTGGCTGAGTCTCAAAAGCCTCCTAATTGGCTGCCTGAGTGTTACACGCCTCCTGATTGGTTGGCTGAGTGTTACACGCCTCCTGATTGGCTGGCTGAGTGTTAAACGCCTCCTGATTGGCTGACTGAGTGTCACACGCCAAGAATAATAATAAGTATGGGGAAGAGTATTATTGTGCTTTTCAAGGCACAATAACTAGAAAATTCCTAAAGAAATTTTGATTGTGCCTTGCTCTGGCCCATATGTCAATACCATGTCTTGTTCTCTAGCACGCTAGCGCGAGCATATTGATGCCATGTCATTCTCTTTAGCTAGCTAGCTAGAGCTAGCACACATAAACACAATAACCAAAGCTAGTGCTTAGCTACGTGCTAATCGCTAACCATGCCGTAATTGCTAGCTAAGCGCTAACCGCTAATCGCTAGCTCACTACTTATCACTAGCCATGCACTAATTGCTAGCTAAGCGCTAATCGCTAGCTAAGTGCTAGCTTTGGTTAATGTGTTTAATTGTATTATGCTCCTGAAGGAGTGCTAATGTAAATTAAGGAACAGCTCATAGTAGGGTAAAATATTTTAGATGCATTTCACTTATTTTGTGTTAATATTAAAATCATTCAGCTTTAAATTGTTTGTTTATTAGCCACTTTCTAATTATCTTTAGCTAGCCAGCTAGCTAGCGCTAGCTTATTAATGCCTTCTCAGCCTCTGTAGCTAGCTATGTGTGGGTGTGTGTGTGTGTGTGTGCGTGTGTGTGTGTGTGTGTGAGAGGCAGGCTTTGGTTGTCGTGGCAACCAGGGGAGACCACTTGAGACTCTTGAGAAAGACAGAAACATTTAAAATGAATCCCCTCGAACCCATGGCCAGGAACGACCGAAATGAAAACAGAAAAGACCATGAGCGTCGTCATCTTGTTGACTATAGGACTGCTGAGTTTCAGTGGCTAAAGTTAAAAAATGTGACCTCGGGAGATTGAGAAAGGAGAGGTTCAACGAGCTTCTTTCAAAATTCCTCCTCTACATTTAACACGGGAGTAGATGGGGCTGTGAGAGGGTGTTGCTGGCGCATCAGTGCGTCTCCCGCCAAAAGTATTTGTCTGACAGCTTCAGCAGTGGTATCCCTGCGACCCCAACGAATTTACCTACATTTCTATCTACAAATTATTTCTGTAGAGTGACATTTGTGGCCTTGAGAGCAGTTTACAAATTTATTTTTCGACAAATTTTTCTCTCTCCCCACACTCTAGCGATGATGTCACGCACTCTAGCGGTTGAACATTCTCGCAATACACACCCATTAATTTTTTGGACCGGTTTTTGGCGATTTATTGGCAAACTGTTTGGCGAAACGCTTAGAAAAGTCATAGCACACCATTCCTGGCCGAGCTGCACGTTTTGATACCTTTTTTGTGTATGTGCGACCAAAACTGCGGGAGGAGAAGCGTGCCAAAAAACGTACGGAAGAATAATAATAAGTATGAGGGAGAGTAGTATTGTGCTTTTCAAGGCACAATAATAAGTATGGGGAAGAGTAGTATTGTGCTTTTCAAGGCACAATAATAAGCCCGAGGGATAATAGTGTTGTGCTTTTCAAAGCACAATAATTATAATTTTTTTCTTGCCGCATATTTGGCACCCCTCACTAGGTGGCGCCCTAGGCAAGCGCCTATGTCGCCTGTAGGAAGGACTGCCACTGCCTACATCCCTGCAGTCATCACTGGAAACAAATGTCGCTACACAAGCAGATAGCGGAACCTACGTCACCTTCCAGACAGGGAATACCACCGCGACCGGCAAGAAGAAAGGAGGGGGACTGGCCGTGCTCATAAACAACAGGTGGTGTAACCCCGGGCATGTCTCTGTGAAAGAGCGTGTCTGCAGCCTGGACATCGAGCTGGTGCCAAAGAAAAATGCTGCAAATACCAAAAACACACAAAACCCCAAAACAACTGCAAGAGAGAAATGCTGCAAATTCACTCCTCAAAACGGAAGTGCGCCAGGCCACTATGGGGACCCGACCTGAGGGATGGACCAGTCCAGTGGGACCAGATCCGAAAGACAAGAAGAAGAAGAAGAAGAAGAAGAAGAAGAAGAAGAAGAAAGTTGACTAAGTTTTGGAGAGGAGAGTAAAAAGGTACGTTTTCCTTTATGTCTTTTTTAAACACTTGGCCGTAATCTTTTATAACATAATTATATTATAATATTATAGAAGAATATTTTTCTATAATGGAATAATTATGATAATATTCTTCTATAATACTATAATAATATAATTATAATATTATAATCCACACTGTGACTGCAGGACTACAAACGAAACACCCTGGGGCCTCCATCATGAATCACAGGGGACTTCAACCATGTTTCTCTCTCGTCCACACTCCCAACCTTCCACCAGTTTGTCACATGCACCACCAGAGACAATAAGACATTGGACCTGCTGTATGCAAATGCTCCTGTTTTTTATATCTGTAGCCTATTTTTTTCACTCAAATGTTGCTATGACAAGTGAATTTCCCCATTGTGGGATTAATAAAATGATCTATCTATCACCTTGAAAATAATGGAGGCATCTTAATCATATAGAATTTAAAGTTAGCAAGCAGACAATTAGCTAACGTTAGCTGTGATAGCTGACATTAGCTAACATTTGTACTTGTTCCAATGGACCTTGGCCAGATCAGCATAACAATGGGAGTTTTAGGTGAACATCTGGAAGCCATTGCTGTGTGTGTGATCAGAAGCTTCAGAGCAGCTGACCTCGGGTTCAGAAGAGGAGTGCTGTTTTCTCTTGCAGACGAAGACTGGTTTAAAACTCCTACCTACAACGCACAAGCCTTTTGCACTATTTATATTTAATTTCCACTTTAGTAGTTTAGTAGTTTTAGTTTCTTAGTTTTAGTCAAGTTTATTTTTTCTGCTTATATTTTGCACTTCATCTCCTACTTGAACAATGCATAGTGTATATACTTTAATTTATAGTTTTTATATCTTCAAAATATTAATAATATTAGTAATATTTTTATTGTGATATTCTTTCTCTGTTTTTGCACTATTTTGCCCTATTGCTGCTGTGTCAACCTGAATTTCTCCTAAGGGGGATAAATAAAGGAATATCTTATCTTATCTTATCTTAGTATGCAGATATGTAAATAACACCATCCTAACCCCTCCCCTCAAAGCAAAAAATGGTAACAGAAAGTTGAAACTGAAAACTAGTGAAAAAAAAAAAAGAAGATTGTCACTGAAACACAAATAAAATTAAATATATTTTTTCAGTGGAACCAATACAAGCATTTCAATGCCAATGTTTTTCAGTTCAGGTTTTGTTTTCAATGCCACGTTTTATTTTCGATTCCAAAATGTAATGCCACTGTTTTAACCTCATAAGAAACACCTTCACACAAATCAATATCGTCTCTGTCAACCTACAACTATACAAAATAAATGAACGAAAGATACACCCTTTTTTTGAGAAAATTGTGTTTTGTGACACGTCATACCGAACATCACCCAATTTTTAATGGATTGGTGGTGGGGCTCCATAGCCTAATCCGATGTTGTGTCATAATAAACTTCCCTGCCGTGAAAAGCCGTGGGGTGAAATTATAACTATTTGCTCCCAATGGAGTTGTTGCGTTGAAAGTCTTAATTTGAAATTTTGACCGGAAGTTAGTGTTTTCAGTCCTGTTAACGCAGCTCAGTAACGATGCCTGTAACACTCGAATAAAACACTCCTGTATACGCTGTGTTCTCGCGCACCGCACTGGAGCGTGCGCAAGACAGGACATTATTCACAGTTGGAGAGAGCTCGCCTTCTCGAGGATACAGATAAGATACAGGCGTTCCACGAGACCGAGTTGCTGCCTATCAACGAAAGACGGGGGACTCGCCACATCTGTTGCCGAGGTTAATTCATTATCACGTTAGCATCCAGCTAGCAATCTAACGTATATTTCAAGGTACCCAACGTAACAGCAAGGTTTACATTACTGCGAACATGACGAATGTCATCTCTCGTTTGTGGTGGACAGCGTTCGACATGAGTCTTCAGTAAATACTTTAGTAAATACTGTAAACAGGTCAATATATTACGACCGGAGAAAAAGACGTAGCCTAACATAAACGTGTGGGAATGGGTTTCATGTAAGTCAAGGGAGCTAGCAGGCTAGCTTCATGGAAATACAGATTTAGGTTAGGCGGCTGCTGCAGAGTGTAGCTTGTAGCTACACACCCTGCTAGCTAACATGGACTGTTTGCTTCCTATCGAGTCTGACGGTGTCTCAGATAGGTAAATATAATGATATTACTGCATTCATTAGTCAGCTAGAAGGACGACGCGACAATGGAGTCTTTCCTGCAGATAGCTCCCCATTCCCTGGCTATAGTTCTGTCCAGGGTCGGGGCTGTGGAGGCGGTGGGGGCGGTCGGGGTATCAGAGAGTGACGAGCTGCCGAGACACCACACCGGCTATGAGATTTTTGCTGATTTCAAAGCAGAAAATACACAGCAACATGTGTGGAACCAGCGGATTACAGAGGCTGTGTCCGAGACCTTCTTTCTTGGATGGATAGACGAGCATGTCCTGTTGATACAGGGGAAGGAGGACCATCTGGAGGTGCTGAGAGAGGGATGGATGCGGAGGTCCCTCAATCCGCCACGGGGATTCACCATCAAATACCTGGGTAAGGCCTCCACATCCACCCCTGAATGCTTAGGATTAGGCCGATTAATTTGCATGTGCATGTGAGTGTGTTTTCATTGATATTATAAGACAGGACTACCTCTGTGCAGCACCTATACATTTATTCTGCTCCTCATCATCAACCATCATATCCTGTTGAACTATTACTCTGTCGCATTTAGGATAATTCTAAAACTGATAAGTCAGAAATTCCGTTGGCATGTGCCACATTTAGCATTTAAAAAGCAATTACATAATTTACTATTTTCTAAAATGTACTAAATAATTGTCTCTTGCACTTGTTAATCAACCTGACATCTAACAAAATAGTAACTAATTTGTCAGTGTTATACTAACAGCCAGTGATATAGGAGGAGGAAGTGAAAAAGACTTAACATCAATTATATCAGCCTTTTATTTCATAAAGCAGTGTTTTTCAGCTTAACATATTAATGTTGTGACTTTATGATGCTGCCATGGTGCAGGTAGTACTGGTAAAACGGTTTATTGTTGGGTCTAGGGGATATAATTACCACTACCCAAACCTATATTGCTGTACCAACTACCAAAGGGGCCACAACATACGCTGACTGTGAAATAGCCAGAATCTTAAAAAAATACTCTGAAACAAATTTTTTATCATACTGCCCATCGCTACAAAAAAGGATGCAGGCCTTATTTACCATGGTGCCTCCACTCCTTCCCTTGTAGTGTCATTCCCTTGTGTCGCAAACTGTGACAAATACTGGCTACTGTATCTTTAGCAGGTGATTGGCCATAACATTATGACCACAGACAGGTGAAGTGAATAACACTGATTATCTTGTTATCATGGCTCCTGTCAGCGGGTGGGATATATTGGGCAGCAAGTGAACATTTTGTCCTTAAGTTGATGTGTTAGAAGCACGAAAAATGGGCAGTGTGAGGATTTGAGCAACTTTGACAAGGGCCAAATTGTGATGGCTAGATGACTGGCTCAGAGCATCTCTAAAAGTGCAGCTCTTGTGTGGTGTTCCCTGTCTGCAGGGGTCAGTACCCATCAAAAGTGGTCCAAGTAAGGAAAAGCATTGGACCGGCACAGGGTCATGGGCGACCAAGGCTCACTAATGCACATGTGAATCGTATAGTCAAATCCCACAGACAAGCTACTGTAGCTCAAATTACTGAAAAGTTAATACTGGTTCTGACTGAAAGGTTTCAGAACACACAGTGCATCACAGTTTGTTGTTGTTGTATAGGGCTGCATAGCCGCAGACCAGTCAGGGTGCCCAGGTGGTTATATTGCTATGTCTGATTGGAATAAGTGACTGTAGTTGTGCTTCAGTGCAAAGGTATCTATTCTTTTGCCCCATCAAAAGTGTTTCATTGTTTCCAGAAGCCTAATACATAATCTGCCACTGATATGGAGCTGCCACTGACTTGGGGTGATATGTTTTATTCAAAAGCAGTTAAATTGTTAATGTAAATGTATTCCATAAAGACAAGCCGTAATTGTGACTTTTTTTGTTTTTGAAATGATGAATTGTCTGTAGAACAACTTAACTGATTGTTGTAGAGACGAGAAACAATCCCCTTTGCTGTTGCTTCACTGAGCTTGCATAGATAGTTGGCTTATCATTCCTACTGGTTGTCCTTCACACCACTATAAATGAACACAAGAAGAGCAAAGATCTTGGTTAAAGAACACAGTTGCTTATTGTTTATGGCTATTTTGGAGTTACAAATTGTCATTAATTTGTATTATTTCATATCAGAATTTGTAATGTTGTGCATTTGGAATTTCCTACACTGAACAAACATTATACCTATACTATTAATAATATTGCATTGCATTTTATTGGGGTGTAACACCTTTTTACTTTGTCGTTTGTTTTTTGTGTGCCCACCTTAAGGTGTGTGCCCCAGTCTGGCCCTCACATTGGAACATTTCCAAGACCCACTCCTGGGAATAAAGATCTTGGACCAGATGTATAAACAATGCATATGCACAAACAAAACATGCATAAGCCATGTCCCACACATTAATTACTATTAATAAAAATAGACTGCCGTGTTTACCTGGCTATTAACAGCCACAGTCGTGCCTAATGACAGCTGCTTGGGCATTGTTGGAGAGCCTTGTCAATGTGGCACAATCAGTTAAACTGCACTACTTCTTCTTTGCCGTTACTTTAATTGTATGCATGCATATTTCTGTCTTACACTGTTGTATCTGACCCCTGCTGACTGTGGCCCAACATATATGATTCATACGTTGCCATCTATTCAGTGCGGCCTTGTGCTCCGTATGAAAGCCTCTGCATTTGTTATGTTTGTATATATAAATATTTTTATTTGTCGCCCATGTGTATACACTTAGATGGTAGAAATTTGTCAAATGTCAGAGATTTTGACGCACTAATATCTCTTAAAAATATCACATCATGAAGTAGTTGAAGATTTTATCCGTGGTGCCTTGGAATATTCTTGTCTTTTTAATCTGTTTACATTAGGGCTGCAACGATTCCTCGGGTACCTCGAGTAACTCAATTACAAAAAATGATCGAGGAATTTCCTCTGCCTCGAAGCCTCGTTTAATTAAATTAAAAACTCACGTTTCGCACAAATTCTTTTTAGTGTGACACAATGTGCAACAGCGTTATTTTTTCAGTAACAGAGTAATCTAATTAATTACTTTTCCCATCGTTGCAACGCCGTTACCATTACTGAGAATGTAAAGTGGCGCGTAACTTGCGTTACGTTACAATGGCGACGAGCCAGGGAAATTCAAAGGTAGTGTTTTCAAACTGGAAGTACCGACACTACTTCTCGCTTACTGAAGCCAAAGGCAAGAATGTTTATGTAACATGCACTATGCCCAGGAAAAAAGACGTGTGCCTCAAGCAACTCAAATCTTATGAAGCACCTCACAGCAACACATGCTAACACGCCACTTGGTGCTGCTGCTAACCCAACCTCAAGCCCAGATGCAGCTAGCGTGAGCTCCAGCGAAGGAGACACATTTTTATTTTATTTTTGATACTTAGAAAAAATAAGTGGGAAACAATTTTATTTATTTTATGTCTCAGGAAATGAAGTGAATTTGAATGAAGTAATTGTATTTATTTATATTGGAAATTTGAAATGGTTTACTACTTTACATAATATGTATAATGATAATAAATACATGTAAATTTTTCTTAAATAAGAAACAAATTGTTTTTATTATTAAGTGATCTGTCTTGTTTTCAATTGTATATTTAAAATTGGGCTTTAATTAAGCTGTATGTTTTATCCGATTACTCGATTAATTGATGGAATATTCGATAGAATACTCGATTACCAAAATATTCGATAGCTGCAGCCCTAGTCTACATCTCATTCTCTTTGTTCACCTATCTGCAGAGGTAGCAATGGTTAAGTGTTGTTTTCAGGATGGAATGAGTTGAGGTATTTGTACTTGGTGTCAGTGGTTCCCTAACAGTGGATTTTACAGCTGTGTGTGGTCAGAAATGAGCAGGGGCTCTGTGTGAAAAATTGTACAGTACCTTGTTAACACCAGTGGGAAAATTAAGTAACTGCTACAGCCAAAGTGCCCTGTGTATGGTCTTTTTTAAATATTCATGCTTTGGTTCAGGATACCAACACAATAGTACAAAATATATTGTTTTCCGGGTATTTTCAAGAATTGCGTTATTTATAGCTCAGGAGGTAGAGCGGGTTGTCCACTAATCAGAAGATTGGTTCGATCCCCGGCTCCTCCTGCAAGATACTGAACCGGGCATCTGGTTTGCTCACTTGGTAGAGCTGGCGACCATGGACCGAGTCCTTCAGCGGCCCAGGGTTCGAATCCGACCTGTGGCCCTTTGCTGCATGTCATCCCCTCTCTCTCTACCCCCCTTTCCTGTCTAACTCCAGCTGTCACTGTCAATTAGAGGCAATAAAAGGCCCCCAAAAAAATTACTAACTAAAAAAAGATACTGAACCAAAAACTGCTGTGTCATCGGTGATGAATGTTAGTTTCTGTTTGTGATGGCTGTATGAATGTGTGTGAATGGGTGAATGTGGCATGTAGTGTAACAGCGCTTTGAGTCAGCCGAAAACTAGAAAGGCGTGCAAGTACATTTCATTTACCATGCGATTTTAAGTGGATTGTCTCAAGCCTGTTCTCAAGAAATTATTATTATACATTGCAATATATCCTCACAGACATGTGAGTTATAATACATACTATTATTTGATGAAACAAGTTTATCTTTACCAAATTACCAATATAATTTGCAAAAACAAGTCAGGTAACTGAACATGATATACAATAACAAAGCAACAATATAAAAATATGTAATAATTATATACTTTTCCGTTCTTTTCTTTTATACGTTTTCTTCCCCCGACATAATGATTACATTTCTGTTCAATAAAAACTGTACAGATCAAACAATATAAAATTGGATGTTATTCAGTGGCTAAACTAAATACAATAACATGGAAGTATGTTTATGTGTGAGAGAAGGAGTAAAGGGAGAGATGCATGAGAAATAGTCAGCTATCTTGATCACATTGAGACCTTTCTTTGGGATGCATTTAACATAAGGTACTTTTCAAATATTGTGTCAATAATTTTCAGTGTTTTTGACCCTCTTGTGGTACTGGGTATTAAAAACAAAATAGACATCAAGGACCCCAGCCCCAAGGTGATGTCTGAAGGGAGAGATGTCTGTCTCGTCCTGATAGTCTCTATCTAGTCCATGCCAAAACTATCTTCTTGTTGGGGATCTCTGGATTCTAGGGCAGACAACAATCTATAGGCTATATGACATTGCTGAGTTACCTGGACAGTGTTCTGGCTATTTGTCGTTGTAACTATAGGCATACCTTCCTGTTGATACTGTAGAGGTGTTGGGGTCCTCTTTGAATAAATATGGGAATTGGACAGTCACAACACTGTTAATTCACTGTTTATTATGTATCTGCCCCAAGTGTGAACCTATTGTGACATTACCCATTGGTTTGTGGAATACC